CCGTTACATATGCTAATTTCATATCTTTAAGTAATATGAACACGATTCGATCCCTTCCACGCCGCCTTTCAGCACTATAAAGTACATGGTGTGAACTGAAGTATGAATTTTTATGAATACGAGTCTCGCACAGATGCACTTTGTACTCCAGTGATTACCTACAAGTGCTTATTATTGGAGTGCGCACGGAAAATATCATTCATGGTTACACACTCACTCCACTAGCAAGCACTAACCCTTTTGTTGTGCATAGAGGGTCGATGAGCACGAGTCAGATCTAACTAAAGATATGTTTCAACCCAATACTTAGAAGCGTTTGGCTGATATCAGTGTCCATTAAACCGTGTCTTCAATTAAATGACTTCGGTGACTCCAATCTTTGGAGACATGTCGGGGAAACACAAACACTGGAGTGTAAACCCGTGTTATACAAAGTAGTACTGAAATAGAACCCTCGTTTCAAGTACCAAGAACTCTTCTTTTGAATTCGCTGACCTCAGCTAAGACATCTGCTGCGAGTTCATTTCTAAATTTGTCGAACACTTGACGACAAGTTAACTTTATACCACCCATTTCACAAAGTCAGCGGTCACATGGCTTTAACAAGAAGACCCCTGTTACCTTACAAATGTCACAAATCCCTGACCAAGTCCAGTGTTGCCACTGTCTAAGAGCGCGACTTACCACAAGTTTCAGATAGGCGATCATGAAATGCAACAGATCTATGAAGGCAGGTTTTTTAAATGTACCCAAAGCATATGTCCACATGGGTAACAACACTTGGTGGATGTTCTGTAAGCGCATTCACATGACTGAACATCATTTTCAGCTCCATGATCGTTGCTCACCAAGAAAACGTAGTTGCTATTTTCATAATCTGAGTAATTGCTACTTCTCCTTTTGAAATTTCGCATGGCTCTAACAGGTGAAAGGGGCGTATCAAACCATCGCGATCAACTGAGTAATATCTGCTTACACAGGAATGCAACTTCAGTGCACCCCCGGCATTTTTACGACGCGGCTCAACGTTGCGAAACCGATAACCATTCATCAGAAGATTCAGGGTAAAGGATCTTATATGTGCCGTAGTCATGACAAGATAGCCAATGCAGGCAAGGCCTATCCAGCCTTCTACCGAGAATCTACTCTACGGAATTCCTCGGAAAATCCATGTTTTTCGAGCTTCATATAACAGTAGAGCCATCGGCCTAACAAATGTTGGCATACTCGAGCTGGATGCCAGGCCATACAAACCCAGAAGATATCAGTTTATCAATGGCACGGATACCAGGATGCGAAGCATCAAAAACGTGCTTACGCAAGGGTAAAGGAACAGCTGGCCTGGGTATTCCTGCGGAGATGTTGTCACTTCACTGTTCAGGAGCGGTAATCGCTGTATCTTCAAAGAGGTTGAGTGTTGAAGTTTTTCAGTCTCCTCGTCTAAATCCTGAAGTCCGGAAATCTTCCGTAAGTCAACTGCTCGAGGTAAAGTAGTGGTGCGAATGTGAGACAGTGCGCCTGCGACAGGGTTGTCCACACCAGAAATATGACGGATGTCCGACGTGAATTGCGAAACATAGTCTAGGTGACGTATTTCACACTGTGAATATCTGTCAGTGGTGTGCAGGGCGAAAGTGAGGAAAGTGCTTAACTAAGGCATTTATGGCCAGCAATTGCCTGCCAAAAGTGCTGCACCGCATTTCGCAGGCGGATGGCTTCCGGGTGAAGAATGCAACTGGGATCCAAGTGTGATCCGAAAGTTGTTGTAACATGGCTTCAATGGCAGTGTTAAAGACGTCGTCATGATGGACCAACATTGTGGCGTCTGCCATTGCGGTTTTGATCTTGCGAAATGCGTCTAGTGCCTCAGGAGTCATGCTGATAGTTTTAAGTTTACTTTTCAGAAGGTCGGTCAGTGTAGTCAAAATGTGAACACACTGTGGGACGAAGCGACGGTGATGCCTCGCCATCCTCAGAAGCATACTCAGAGCATTAAGTGACACTGCGACCGGAAAGTCTTGGCTCTCCTGTACCTTTTCAGGCAGTGGGCGAATGCCCTGCTTGTCGATAACGTGCCCCAAGAACTTCGGTGAAGGAACGTCAATCTGGCATTTGGCAAGGTTGACTGTCATCGAATGCTCTGACAGCCTAGCGAAGACCTGCTTCTTGTGGTTAAAATGAATGCCTTCGTCTGGACTAGAGATTAGTATGTCGTCTAAACAGGCATAGGCGAAGTCTAATCCGCGTAAAACATCGTGAATAAAACGTTGGAAGGTTTGTGTTGCGTTGCGAAAACCAAAGGCCATACGATGGAACTCAAAAAGACCGAACTGTGTAATGACGGCTGTCTTGAGAACATCATCAAGATGAGCTGGGATCTGATAATATGCACGCGTCAAGTCGGGTTTACTGCAGATAAGTGAGCTTTTTAGAGATGCAGTCAAGTTGTGTATGTAAGGGACCGGGTAATGACCTGTAGTCGTTTTAGCGTTGAGCCTTCGGTAGTCACCACAAGGCATCCAGTTCACGCCATTGTTCTTTGGTACCACATGCAAGGGTGAAGACCATAGACTGTTGGATGGTCTGATTATTCCCATCTCAAGCATGTGTTCAAACTTAGCCTTTAAAGCACGCAGTTTCTCGGGGAACAATCGCCGTGGTTTAGCAAACACTGGAGGGCCAGTCGTCGTTACGTGATGAGAAACGTTTGAAGTCGCCCACGGTACACAACGACTTGGCTTAAAGACATCCGGAAAGGACTGGATAATAGAGGCGTAGGGACTAGAAGCATCCGTCGCGGAGTACACGGGATTGAGGGATGGTGTCTTTGTGACAGCACCGGATACAGAGAGTCTTGTGGTAGAATCTATCAACTTGTGCTTGCCAGGATCTACCAGCAGCTGATAGTGCTGTATGAGATCCATACCAATAATGCTGGTGGTCGCATCAGCCACTATGAAAACTCAAAGGAAGGGAGGACGCAGGTCAAGGTTGGGGTTAAGGAATTTTTGACCATATGTCGTGATCGGCAAACCGCTGGCAGCAGGAAGTTTCAGAGACGTTGGCCACAGACGCTTTTCACTTGTGGGTGTGATGACACTAGCTTCTGCCCCAGTGTCAACCAGGGAGCGTATCCCAGAATGTCGATCAGTGACGAAGAAGAGGAGACATGGAAGTGGTTCGCTAGCAACGTTAGTCGCCATCATTTCCTGGCTAGCATGTTTCCCGGCCCGGTTAGCCTCGAAGGTGAAAGGTTGAGTGGACCTTTTGGCATTGGCACCATAACGCCTATGACACCAGCAGGACCTGGGTTGGGATAGTCGCGATTTGGGACGCCTGCTGCCGGTACGGGATCTGTTGCGCGAGCTAGACGTGTGATCGTTAGAAGTACTACTATACCGCATCTCTTTCTTTATACTGCACAATTCCTCGTACAATTTCGAGATGTGAGCTATAACATTGAAACTTGTTGGCTCACTTGTTGAGGGTGGGTATGGGTCTTTGGACGAATCCGCCGCAGTTGACAGTGCAGCCGAGCACAAGTGTTGGGCTTCGTAGCGTCCACAGCTCTGTCAGCCGCTTCTGCCAGCTCTATTAAGGGACACTTATGAAAGGGTGCTAGGATTCCTTGCACCTACTGTGGTAACCTCTGTAACCGCAGTTGCTTGAGAAATGCTTCCTTAATATTGAAGTCAGCAACCAGCTGCTTCATCTGACGAAGCAGTTGCGTGGGCTTACGATCACCAAGATGCTCATCCCTGAAAAGATATTGCACCTTATGCTGGTAAGTGCAACGCGTTTGATGAGGACGGCTTTGAGGCGTTCATACAGATTCGGTGCTTGGTCGTCTGGCACGCCTGAAACATCTTCGATAACATTTTCCGGTAAGCTGATGATGACTAGGTTGGACTTAGTTTCTTGTGAGTGAATATGTCTCAAGGCGAACTGAGCTTCCACACGGGAGAACCTTGCGGATAGTCGGTGGGCCAAGAAGGTGGGGAGCCAAAGGGTTATGGCCATCTGCGCGGTGGAGTCATTGTCAGCTAATGATAAGGGGTATAATGAAGCACAATGTTGATAATAAGAAAATTAAAATGTAAAAAGCCAACGACGAATGCAATAAAAAACGCGAAACCGTGCCAAAAACAAAAATAGGCCAAATAATCAGGGCAGGATAAGAAAAAGAGGTACTAGGCAAGGTAAAAACTGATCATATAGGGCTCACTAGTTGTACGGATGCGTGTGTTACTATTCCGTAATGTTTGATCAACCCTGCTTAACTTGTAGTGTTCCAGTACCTGCTTAATCAGTACCTTACCTAACGTGTAAGTACTGATAACGAAACACAAGTCAAAAGGACTGGTTCAGGAATGTATTTGAAGAGGTAATGTATCTAATTAAAGTAAATGTAATGGTAATGGATGGGGGAAGGGTTTAATCAACTTATCTGGCTAGTATGGCTGGGCTAGGGACTTCGAGTACGTGCGTTCTAACTAGCACCGAGGAAGCGCCAAATGGCTTCCAAGCCTGCCCGAATGCTTGCTCGTTAGAACAAAACTTAAAACACCTAAAGCATGCGGAGGCGAGCTAGAGGTTTATTTAGTTAATTTAATTTAATCTACTTATTTTAGCTGTAGTTGTATTTTGGCTCCAGGAAGGTGCACTACAACCTCACGGAAGCTAAAAGCTAGAAAGCAGACGGAATTTACTCGTTCACTTCAGGACTGAACTGAACAACTGAAACCAAGCCCTAATAACTAGACGTGAGAGATCAAAAACTATCACTTTTCTACGCTTGCACTATCAATTTTGGATATTGGATTAGAAACAGACAATCACGAACTCCAAAGCTATAAGCGGGAAGAAGCAAAGACTTCTATAACCATCGAAGAAATACAACCGAACGAAAAGAACCGAGTCTCGAGACCTAGAAGTGGGAGCTCAAAAACTACAAGTTTCCTTTTTTCGTACTATTGAAATTAGATGTTTGATTCAAATATCAGAAACGACAAGGTCATTCCTGGCGACATTGCTCAGATGTTAACAGTTGGCCTATAATCACACTGTATCTCCATCTTTTTTTATGAACTACATCACACTTCTATCCTAGGTATCTTGGTCTTAATAGTACACCTTTAAACTACTAGTCCTCCTATATACTTACCTTCATTCATTCTGTTGGCTAATCACCACACCTTCCATGAGTAAATTATTTGTAGTAATTCATACTTTTGTTGGGCTTACATCTTTATGATCAGTCATCTTTTTCCTCATTGTGTTATATATATATATATATATATATATGGAAATGAGAGGTCACTAAATTTACTTTTTCTTTTGAAGAAAAATATCTGAACCGTGTAAGGGTTCATACAGAGTTGTCATCAGAATTGAATACAACTACTCATCTCTTCCAGGGATGACCGCCGTCATCGTTCCTGACTAAATTTAACTAGCTCTTACGTCGCATTAACCGTTCTGCTCCCTGAAACGCATCTGGTTGACTTGGTGTATGCAGACGGTATTGTCCTGCTGCATGAAGGCATTGAAAAAATACAGGCTCTTCTGAAAGCCCTAAGTGAAGAGTATGTTTGGCATGCGTTTCACTGGTACCTGTCAAATGTAAAATCATGCCCCAGGACTGGTCTTCAACTACTTCCCACATCTTAACAGAGAGCGAAGTGATGGAATGTGTCGATGACTTCACTTACTTAAGTAGTTCCGTCAGCTCGAACGGACTGGTTGCTGACAAAATCTCAGCTCGAATACATGCAGCCCGTTCGGCATTTGCCAATTTAAGTTATCTGTGACGTCGACTGGCGAGGTACCTGACTATCCGTCAAAGAATGAGTATACTGCACTGCAGTCCATTTAGTCCTGTTGTATATCTGTGACACTGGCGTTTCAAGTAAAAAACATGAGGTGATTACAGGGTTTTAACCACACTTTTGGTGGAATCATCGTACGAAAAATGTTCAAGTCAGGTGAAGGGTACCAGTCATGACAGGCAAGTTGATTGTTGAGGTTGGGAACCTTAGTCGACGGAGATGGGTTGGACACGTGTTGTGCATGTCTAGCCACTGTCTACTTTGATTTGTCATGCTAAGAAAATTCGGTTTGGTTAAAAGTAGGTTTCAAAGTGGCCATATCAAAACTGTTGGTCTGAATCGTGTGGGGGAGATGAAGACTTCTTGGTTGGCGTCGCTGAGATGAAAGGAATCTTTGGTTGAGGACTGTTGGTGACATGGCTGCAAATCGATCACAATAACGCAGATGTATTCACTCGACATCTAAAATTTGACTGTTCGCACTAGCGTCTATTTTCGAATTGCCTACTTTCTCATCCAACTTTATCTACTTTGATATCACTCTTTTACTATCGACCTGTTCTTTGTATATGACTGCGAATTGTGGCAACTTGAGCTAATGCACTTGTATCTGAGTTTCTACGTTGATCTTGTCATCAGTCAGTCAGTCGGTCAGTCAGCATTTATCTGCTAAGTTGTAGTGTCCATCGGAATTACTTTTTGTCTTTTAATGTATCATTTCTCACTAAGAATACTGCGGCTTGAAACCAAATGTTGATATGTGCACTAGATCACGGATCATATTTGTTTTTGTGGTGGTGATATTATTGCTTCCGAAACCTTGGTAGTTGAAGAGTTTTCGATATTGCAACCCAAAAGTTTAAATTTGGGCGCGTATATTCATCATCATCATTATCAACATAGGACCAGGCATTACTGCGTAACGGTCCGAGTTGCCACACCTCATATCAGCACATCAAGTAAAAAGGTAGTGAGGTGAAGGATGAAGATAAGTGAATGCAGTCAAAAGAAATATAAAGTACGAGAAGAAAGGAAAGAGGAGTGACAAAATAGTGAGATTCGGTATAGCGTTGTTAAGATGAGGATAATGTGTGTATACATCTGCGCCACTGACTTCGGTTCTGAGCCATATCACCTAGGGTCTCCAACCACTGGTTCCTCTTGTCCCGTGGACCCCAACCACCTAGTCTGCATCGTCCTACATGGCTTAAACCAACAGTCAGAGACTTCATACATTGGTGCCATGTTTTAGTCTGGCCACCTCGGGCCTTTTTCCAGCCTGAACCCACCTCAGCCAACATTGTGTGACGAGGCAATCGGTGACTAGGCATACGTAGTACGTGTCCCAACCATCTCAGTCGATGAAGGTTCACAACCTCGTCGACTGACTTACCTCTTCTCCCTAAAACTCTACACCTAACTTCTGCATTACTCACATGGTGACACCACGGAATACGTCCTATACTACGAAGGCAACGGTGGTCAAACACCTGTAGCCTTTTTGTGTCTTCCACTTTCAATGGCCATGTTTCACAGCCATACAGTAGAACAGAGCGGACTGCTGTGCAGTACACGCGACCCTTAATAGACAAACGAATATCACGGCGGCGCCATAGGTGGCGCAAATTGGCAAAAGCCAATCGAGCCTTTTGTATCCGTGCAGAAATCTCATCGGCAACTAACCCACCGGAGTGTTGATCCTACTTCCCAGGTAAGTGAAGTGGTCAACACACTCAACCACTTCACTCTCTATTGTTAACCGCGGTACCGCTGAAGACCAGTCCTGGAGCAAAAATTTGCATTTGGGTGGTGAAAATCGCATCCCAAACATTCTCAAATTCCCACTCAAAGTGTTCAGAAGACTCTGCATCTTGTCAGCGTCTTCACCTAACAGGACTATGTCATCTGCATATTCTAGATCTAAGGAAAATTCACCTGTGATCCGGTCAACGTCTTTGTAATTAGGTGACGAGAGGGAAACCTCCATAAGAATATCTATGATAAAATTAAATAAGAATGGGGATAGTGGGCATCCTTGACGGACACCACTTGATGAGTATAGCTCCCTGGACAACTCACCATAGGCTCTAACATGCCCACAAGTGTTCGAGTAGAGAGCTTTCAATAAGGTGATGTACTTACTAGGCACGCCTTTCAGTGACAGACACTGCCATAAGACTTCTCGATCAACGGAGTCAAATGCCGCCTTCAGGTCGAGAAATACAGCTATTGTCGGGCGTCTGTAAGCATGCCTATGTTCCAGGACCTGGCGCAGTGTGAATATTTGGTCGATACATCCACGGCCAGGTCTAAAGCCTGCCTGGTTTTCTCGGGCTTGCTGTTCCCGAGCTCCACTCAGGCGTCGGAGAATTATAGAACTTAGGATCTTAGACACTATGTTTGTCAGGCTGATTCCTCTGTGGTTATCACAAGAGGACTTCTCGCCTTTCTTGAAGACTGGGATGATGAGTGACTTAGACCAGTCGGAGGGGATCGTATTTGATTCCCATATACTGGCTAACACTTCCGTTAGCCTGACTAAGAGAACTCTACCACCATTCTTGTATACCTCAGCAGGTAGTCCGTCTGGTCCTGCTGCCCTTCCCCGTTTCAGGCTACCTACCGCTTTCTCAACTTCTTCTAGTGTTGGGGGACCTGTCTCTATGTCCCATTCAGGGTCCGACTGGATAGCGGGCAGCGCAATGGTGGCTGGAGGCCAGTTAAACTGTTCCTCAAAGTGTTCTGCCCATCGTCCCAGTCGCCTTCCCTGCGAGTGAATCGCAGATCCGTCCTTCTCCGCTATAACCTCACTAACTGTTGTTGACCATTTCCCCCCAGTCTCCTTAATAAGTCTAAATAACTGTCTACTGTTACCGATCGCCGCTGCCTTTTCCATCTCTTTAGCCTTTGCTGCCCACCACTGTTCACGATCGTTGCGCAGACTTTTCGTCAGTTTATTTTTAAGTTGCGCTCGCTCTTCATTGTACTCAGAGCCTGCAGGGATGCATTCACGTGCATCCATTAGTTTGGAAGAAGCTGCTGATATCCACTGGCTCTTTTTAGCCATTATCTTGGAGTCGGCTACAGTCTCCAGTGCTGCTTTTACAGTAGACTGAAGATGGCACCAAGCTTCTTCTGGATGAGTGACAGTCTTTTGTTCCGATAACTGCCTAGCCAACTTCTCACTGAACACGGCTTTGGTGTTTTCGTTGTCCAGCAGAACTCGTAGTGGTTTTGTTGCCAAATTTTTTCTACGTCCATTGAGACGCAGGCATATACGTGCTCGGACCAACGCATGATCGCTGTCCAAACACGTACTCCAGAAGGAGCGGCAGTCTTCCACCGATCCTCTCCAGCGATGACTAATAGCAATGTGGTCTATCTGTGTCCATCGCTGAGTCGAGCTCGGTGGACGCCAGGTCAGACAGTGCCTTTCTTTATGTCTGAAATTTGTGCTGGCTAAAAATAGGCGGTTATCTGAGCATAGTTGTAATAGGCGATCACCGTTATCTGTACGTTCAGCTGGGATTCCGAAAGTGCCACCTAAGTGCCTTTCTGCCTCACTCAGTCTACCCACCTGTGCGTTGAGGTCACCTGCAACAACCACTACGTCCGAACGTTTGGCTTTCGAGAGGAGGTTAGACAGTTTATGGTAGAACTCGTCCTTCACTTCATCCGAACTACAGTCAGTGGGTGCGTAAGCAGAGATTACAAAGAGACAACGGCGAGTCTCACTATTCCTTTTAGTTCTCACTGTGCCGTTCAGCCTCATAGCGCAGAGGCGACTATCAACTGGGATCCAGTCTAGTAGTGAGTTTTCTGCCCTGGTGCTTAATGCTATACCTACACCTGCAAGACCACGAGAGCTAGCTATCGAATCTCCAGAAACTCGAAGGGTGAATTTTGCAGATTCACCAGATTGGTCAGGAGAGGTCAGGTGAATAACCACACTTGGGTCCTGTATGCGTGTCTCACAAACACAGCACACATCCATGCCCGAGTTGCTAGAGTCTTTGCCAACGAAGCCTGTTGGCCAATTTGACGGAGGGTGCGGACATTGAAGGCTCCAATATGTAATTTGGAGCGTGGTTTAAGGAGACCAGGGATGCTGTTCTGTGGACTCAGATCGTTGTCGAAGGCTGCAGAGGTAGGAGAAATTGAAGATGATGCAGCATCATTAATTAAGAGACGTGAAGGAAGATTAGAAGGTAATGATGGAGGAGGAGGATAGCAGTCAGAAGAAACTTGGGTGCTGACAGAGTTGTGAGGGCGGTTGACACTTCCCGGCTGCCCACACCGTGGAAGGCTATTTCTTCTTAAGGTACCTGAAAGAGATTTGTGTGACCGCAGAGCCCATCGGACATCTGCTTGAGGCCTGTCACACCCAGCCTTTTGAGTATGATTATTTTGAATTTTTGTATTTTTGGGGCCGGATGATCGAAAGGAAACGACAAGTGAACCAACACCGCCGGCCCGGCAGACCGTGGGGCGTGGTGGAGTGTGTTATTTTTGGGGCCGACCTTTTCTAACCCCCCTTCCACTGAGAAGGCAGCATCAGCATGGCACTGCTGGTCATCCAAGGGAAACACCTTACTGCTGTCACACCCCATCCAGCTAGCAGCAGTACGACTTCGCCCTCAGACCCCCATCATAGTGTAGCAATTTACACTATAACGGTAACTGCTTTTCGTCTAACCACTACCCAACAGACCTTTCTGGTATGGTAGGACCTCGAGGGAACAAGCGTTCCACCAGCATAGCTCGTTGGGTCATTGTGATATGCAAGCCCGACCACCACGTCAAGGTAGCAGCTATCGGTCGAGGGGCGCGTATATTATTGAAGTGTATTTCACGGAGAATAACAATTATTGGCACCTTTTGTGTATAGGTCAGTCTTTTTGTTGGTTTAGAACTGTTACACCGATTGGTAATAGCAAACAGTTATCTAGACATATTAGGGAGACTGGGGGGGGAGGGTGAAAGGTCAACAATAGTTAATGAGACTATAGCGGAAAAAGATGGGTCTGGGATTCACTCACAAAGGAGACGACTGAAACGATAAACAGAAGACTTCGAGGAACAGTTTAACTGGCCTCCAGCCACCGTTGAGTTGCCCGCTATCCAGTCGGATCCTGAATGGAACATTGAGATAGGCCCCCCAACACTTGCAGAAGTCGAGAAAGCAGTAGGTAACCTAAGACGAGGAAGGGCAGTAGGACCAGATGAACTAACTCCAGAGGTATACCAGGATGGTAGTAGGGTGCTCTTAGTCAGGTTAACGGAAGCATTATCTAGTATATGGGAATCAAATACGATCCCCTCCGACTGGTCTAAATTACTGATTATTCCAGTCTTCAAGTAAGGTGAGAAGTCCTCTTGTGATAACCACAGAGGAATCAGCTTGACAAATATAGTGTCCAAGGTCTTAGGTCCTATAATTCTTCGAGGCCTGAGTGGAGCTCGGGAACAGCAAGCTGGAGAAAATCAGGCAGGCTTTAGACCTGGCCGTGGATGTATTGACCAAATATTCACACTGGTCCAGGTCTTGGAACACACACACTTACCGACGCCCGACACTAGCTGTATTTCTCGACCTGAAGGCGTAATTCGACTCCGTTGACCAAGAAGTCTTATGACAATGTCTCTCACTGAAAGGCGTAGCGAGTAAGTAAATCACCTTATTGAAGGCTCTCTACTCGGACACTTGTGTGCGTGTTAGAGCGTATGGTGAGATGTCCGGGTGGCTGTACTTGTCGAGTGGTATCCGTCAAGGGTGCCCACTCTCTCCATTCTTATTCAGTTTTATCATAGATATTCTTATGGAGGTCTCCCTCTCGTCACCTGACTACACAGAAATTGACCTGATCGTCACAGGAGAATTTTCGTTAGACCTAGAATACGCAGATGACATGGTCGTGTTAGATGAAGACGTTGATAAGATGCAGAGTCTGCTGCACACTGAGTGGCAAATTGAGAATGTTTGGGATGCGTTTCTCACCAGTGAAATGCGAATTGTTGGCCCTGGATTGGTTGGTCTTCAACGATGCCTGGGGTAAGAATAGAGAGTGAAGTGGTTGAATGTGTTGACCACTTCACTTAGGTGAGAAGTGGGATCAGCCGTGCACTGGTGGATGAGTGGCCGATGAAATCTCTTTACGAATACAATAGGCGTGGCTGGCTTTCGTCAACTTACGCCACCTATAACGCCGCCGTGATATCCAATTGTCTATTAAGAGTCGCATGTACTGCATAGCAGCTCGGTCTGTTCTACTGTATGGCTGTGAAACACTGAAGGCCATTGAAGGTGGAAGATATGAGAAGGCTTGAAGTGTTTGACCAGCGTTGCCTTCGTAGTATGGGCCGTATTGCGTGGTGTCACGACGTGAGTAACACAGAAGTCAGGTGTAGAGTTTTAGGGATGAGAGGTGAGTCGGTTGATGATGCTGTTGTGAACGTTCATGGAGTGAGATGGTTGGCTGGGACATGTGTTACGTGTATGCGTAGTCACCGATTGCCTCGCCTCATCACACCACACAATGTTTGCGGAAGTAGGTTGAGGCTGGAAAAAGGCTGTGGGTGGCCAGACTGAAACATGGGATCAAATCAATGTATGAAGTGTTTGACTGTTGGTTTGAGCCATGTGCGATGATGCAGACTAGCCGGTTGAGGTCTGCGAGACAAGAGAAACGAGTGATTGGAGACTGACTGTAGGTGGCGATATGGCTCAGAATCGATGTCACTGGCGTATATGTATACCCACATTATCCTCATCTTAACGATGCTATGCCGAATCTCACCATTTTCTCATTCCTCCTTTCTCTCCTTGAGTACTTGATATATCTTTTGACTGAGTTTTCTTTTCTCCATTTTCCACTTCACTACTTTTTTACTTGATGTACTGATATGAGGTGTGGCAACTCGGAGCGTTACGCAGTATTGCCTAACCCTATGTTGATTTGGATGGATGGATGTCACATTGGAACGGTATTATTTTCGGGATATGGTGTCAGACAGTTTATTGTCTTTATTCATGTCAGATGAAAATTGCGTAACGCTTCGCGATTTTTATGTCGTCCTGATGTGAACATGGGCAGTAAATTGCCCAAAATATCATCCAGTAAATTGGACTATTCCACTGAGTGACGCATGTAGTAAGAAAAGTAGTATGAAACTACAATCTACCACAGTGCCAAAGTTTTACTTCTGTGATAATCCTGCAGACCGACTTTTCCCTGGGTGTAGTTTTACCCACACATTAATGGAAAACTAATCAAAATGTTCATACGGTCTCTTATGGTTCGATGAGTATGTTACACTGCGGGAGCTGTAGCTTACTGGTCTAGATACTTCAGCTCCAACCGTTGGGTCACAGGTTCGAACGCAGTTCCATCTACTGGGGTCTGGGCAACCAGATAGTATTGTTAACCTGCACAAAATAAATGTGGCTCACGGGTATTGCATGAAAGTGCACATGGTTGCTGACTGAATTAGTTTTCAATCAGTACTCTGCTGTTCATACTAAACTTGACCATCATCTGCAGTATATGCATTGTAAGTAGCAATCATATGTGTAGGTCTTGTTTTAAAATAAACAACCTTAAGACAAAAAGATACCAAAGAATCGGTAAGTGATCAGCAGATGAGAAGTGTATTCCTGTAGGTATATCTGACAATGATATGAGGTTGCCGATATACGAAAACGTGAAAATTACCATATTATATAAGGAACATGAGTAAAGTGGTCAGTAAAAGCAGTCATTATTCTAGAACTTTACTGGTTAGCATTACGAATTTTCCTCTTCGTCTTCATGCAGATTTCTTTACTTATATATTCTTGCTGAAATGACTGTTTTTTCTCCATTAATCTTCAGCAAGTTACTCAGTTTTGCACGTGTCTCTGGTGAAAACGTCCTATGTTTAGTTCATTGACTGCCGATAAATCCAGTGGCTTATTTGCTGGAATATCAGAGACATCTAGTGCGAATTTGTTTCAAGTCTTGTCCACAGCAGATAGTAAAGCTTCCAATGTGGGACTCTTTGGTGCTGTAACATCATCTACAACGGGGTTCGGGATCAATCTTGGGTTACCAACATACGGATTTCAATCACCTTACGTAAGTGGGGAGGAAAATGTCAAACCAGGAAACTTGTTTGAGTCTTCTGGGGGATACAATAATCTCCAGAAAGACCAAGAAAATGAAACTTTTGTGGCGAATATATATACGAATGATGATATGCTGAGTAGCGGTAAGCCTGACTATTATTCTTTCCCGTTACGTCTCTTGTTAGCGTATGATGTTGACTTTCAGTATGATTTTTGTCCGGAACTTAATCAGCTTACTTAACTGTACTGTTGGTTCATTTCAACTTATTCCTGCTGAATGCTAAAAGGAATAAAGACTTCAGCGAGCAAGTTTGTTTTCGGCGATATCATCCTTAGTGGCTCTACAATCGCATTTCAATATAGTTAGTGGAAATAAACATGTTGTTTCTCAGTAATTGTCACTACTTTGTGGCCATGAAAATAACACAGAAATGGAAATTACTTGAGAAGTATGATAGTTATTGACAATATAAGTTGGGGTCAAGAAGTACAGAATCTCTTTACTACTGTTATGTGAAAGAATTGTAGCATTTCGATAGGAACTCAACAACTTGCTAACAGGCTCTCAATTGCCACTATTTGATTATTTATTGTCTGATGAGTATATCATAGTCGTGTCCAAATCCCGTCTCTTGAGCATAAGCAACAATTTAAATTTATCAATTTATAAATACAACTGGATCACTTGACTAACAGTTTTCTCCTAATATCTGTTGAGTTGAAATATCATGACACTCATTTTTCGTGTGTGGTGTTACATCAAGTGTCGTAATTGTAAACAAAAGTGGTTACAGGTTGGCAGTTTACTCGCCCATGAAAACCAATATTGTAGAAGAATCCATTGATTTCATCGGTTACTTTAACGTATATTGATGGATATATTTTTATGAAGGAACACCGACAGGATTTGATCGTGGATATGCATCTTAAAGACCACAGCAAACTCAGGATACTTTTGAAGTAGATAATATATCTACTGTTACTTTTAGATGTTGACATTTTCATACAAGTATGTGATGTGTTTCATGATATGGAATCTGACCGTTAAAGTTGAGCCACATAAAGGTGCTAATACCTTATATCCATTGTCTTAAGTTGTTTCAAGCTATCATTATCATCCAAATCAACATAGGGTCAGGCAATACTGCGTAACGCTCCAAGTTGCCACACCTCATATCAGTACATCAAGTAAAAAAGTAGTGAAGTGGAAAATGAAGAAAAGAAAACTCAGTCAAAAGATATATCAAGTACTAAAAGGGAGAAAGGAGGAATGAGAAAATGGTGAGATTCGGCATAGCATCGTTAAGATGAGGATAATGTGGGTATACATATACGCCAGTGACATCGATTCTGAGCCATATCGCCACCTAGAGTCAGTCTCCAATCACTCGTTTCTCTTGTCTCGCAGACCTCAACCAGCTAGTCTGCATCATCGCACATAGCTCAAACCAACAGTCAAACACTTCATACATTGATTTGATCCCATGTTTTAGTCTGGCCACCCACAGCCTTTTTCCAGCCTGAACATACTTCCGCAAACATTGTGTGGTGTGATGAGGCGAGGCAATCGGTGACTACGCATACACGTAACACATGGCCCAGACAACCATCTCACTCCATGAACGTTCACAACAGCATCATCAACTGACTTACCTGTTCTTCCTGAATTTATCAAGTTATCATAACCGTGCACAGCAGGGTGAGAAATGTAAGACTATATGAAGGAACACAAATAATTCCCAAGGAGGACTTAATTAAAGGATTATAGTTTACTAAGTGAATTGTGCTACTTTTCTACTTACTTGTATGCAGTTATAGATAAATCTTCATTTTATCTATTTTTTCACCGCAACGTTTCTGTTCGCTGTCAGATTTCGATTCTTCAAAAACTAATACTGATGTAAAGGGTTCAAATTCGAATGATTTACAAAATGTTGACCATATGTATTGGCCTGCAGTTAAATTATCTCGTCTTCCGATTGGATGCAATACAAAGTGTTATCTTCAAAATCAGTTTCAACGTTTCGGTCATATTGAACGAATTATTTGTCAACCGTCTATGGATGCTGCTTACGTAGCTTTCGATTCGCTGGTTAGTAATCTTCTGGTTTCACTCTTTATAACTGTTTGTACATTTACTGATATAATCACGTTAGTTGTGTTACAACAAGCAAGAATAACTTAGCATACTGTTTTTTACCACTTCACAGTAGTATACAAAGAACAAGTGAATGAAAGAGACAGATATCAAAGTACACAAAGAACTATAAAAAGAGATAGTTGGGTTGTTGTGATATGCAAGCTCAACCACCACCTCATGGTAGCTGTTATTAGTCAGATGTGTTTTCGTTTACTTTATCGATCTGAGAACAGATGGGCATATCATGCTCATGCCTGGACAAAGTGCTAAACTGATGGTACCATCACTCACTGGGATGCAGGAACATCCACCTGACAAGTCCCAACTAGGACAGAACGCACGTCCTGTATTATGCTACTAACCATCTCCAAGAAAATAAAATTGTAGTGACACTACAGTTTATTTTGTTTGTGTGTGTGCACTACTGAGAATTAGGTATTAGTTTCGACCACAATGGCGCGGATATATTCACTCGTTGAAATCTAAAGCTTGAGTCTACGCACAAACTTTTATCTTGAGGTTGTTTATTTTCCCACAGTACTCTGTATACTTTGTTACCACCTTTTCTATCCACCTGTTCCTTGTGTACTACTGTGAAGTTTGCCAACTTGAGCTGATGCACTCGTATGCGAGGTTCTAGGTTGATTTTGTCATCGGCCAGTCAGTCAGGTGAAATTTTAAAATCTATAAGATGTCTCTGTAAAACTGATAACCTAACTCTTATACCATGTTCTATCCTTTTCTGCCCTCACTTTTTAACTGCAAGACTAACTAAATTCCTGTACATAATTAATACTGAAAATTACTGTGAAAATTTTATTTCGTTTATATTGTTTCCATCATTCTTTCCCAGTAATCCTACACTATCTATTAGTTTTTTTCCCTTCCATTTTAAATTTAGTCGTCTGCGCAGCGAGCTAAACGGTCAGGTCGTGAATCTGTCTTACCTGGCGATGGTGGTTTACCCAGCTCAGTTCTTCTAACAATGGCACGAATTCGCTGTCACCCCACTTCAGGTTCATCATCAATATCTCCGAAATTAGCTTCCAACAGTAGTGGAAGTATGAAGTCACACTTCACTTCCATACGTCCATCTGGCTTAAAAAGACCTATTTTATCGCATTTAGTAAGTTAATTCTCTTATATTTTGTCTTCTTTCCTTTTAGTCTATACTTCAGTGAGGCATTAAAAACAGCACAATTGGTTTACCCAAATTACTTGTTTCTGTTGATCCAGTACGCATTCTCTAATGTTTTTTTAGATATGTTTAGAACAAACCAATGATTAGCCTCGTAACAAGTGCTCATAGGTGATAGATTTGTTGTGTATCAGTGCTTCTTAGTTATTGAAAGCATTGTTAAATCATACCAATATGACAAGAGAGAGGTGAATTTCAGCATATTTTAATACTCCTTTTTCTCCACGTAAAACTACACTGTTACCACTAAGCATATTACTACCTGTTATTATTTGTTATCAATCCCGACCGACAGCTGCTACCTCGACATGGTGGTCAGACGCGAGCATTACAATAGCCCAATGAACTATACTGATAGGGATGCCTGCTTCTTGAGATCCTCCTATGCCAGAAAAGTCTGTAAGACAGTAATAAGGCAGGAAGGTACTTAGCACTAAACTGTGGATAGCTACGCTATGTATTAGGGTCCAAGGGGGGTGTAGCACTGCTGGATGAAAGGGATTATCACAGGAGTAAGCTTTTTCCCGCGGATGAAGAGCAGTCCACGTTGATGTTGCCTTTCGTAGGGAAAGAGAGATGGGACGTTAAAGTGTCAACACCTAAAATAACACATTCCTTCATTACCTTCCGGATTTCCATTGCTGACGGTGTGGATTATCGTAGTATGTGATTGCACTACACAAGTGGGTAGGCTGAGTCAAACAGAAAGGAACCAAGGCGGTACTTTTGGAATCCCAATGGAACAAATAGATAACAGCGATTGCCTGCTATTACTGTGCTCAGATAGCCATCTATTTCTGGTTAGCATGAACTTCAGACATAAACATAGGCATTGTCTGACGGCGTTCGTCGACCTTAACGGTATACACATATAGGAGTATACTGCTAGAAGGTATTACTGAAAAGAGTTGGTGGAAGTGTGCCGCTCCTTTTAAAGCACGTGTTTAGACTGTTAGCACTCGGTGGCTCAGTGAGGTAGATTCCAGCACCTAAACGAATGTAGAAAACTTACAATTGCAAGACTATTAAGCACAGCTTGATAATGCGCATACTTAGGGTGCTTTTATTCAGGGACGGGTTTGATGGTTATCGAAACAAGTCACTCATTCTAAAGAAGCCTGTTGCCATCTCCAGTCGGATCAGTCCCATTGAGTCACTGACCGTTGGAATCTTTGCATGGTTACAAATGGCTCGCTCTGTTTCCACCAGCCTACCGCATTCATGGCGCCACCGAAATATCTGACTACCAACTAAGGGTCGAGTGCACTGTGCTACAGTTCCCTCTCTTCTAATTCATAACCATGAAACATGACCAATAGACGCAGAGAAAACGAAGGATTTAGGTGTTCAATCACTATATTGCATAGTATCACCATATCAGCAACGTAGAAATCATATGTACAGTTTTGAGTAGAAGAATGAAATCAGTTGATGAAGTTGTGAAGCTTCATCGATTTAGGTGACTACAACGCCTGTTACGCATGTCCAGCCACCATCTGCCTGTCATGTAATCTCAGCCGTAGTAGGTTTATGCTAGGAAAAGGTCGGAGGCAGTCAGACTGAAACATGCCATCAATCCATGAAGTCCGTGACTGTTGTTCTGAGCCGCATAGATGAATGTAGAATTCTTATTCACGGTTCACAGGGCAACTGAAATCGGTGGTTGATACCTGTAGGTGATATGGTTCATAATCGATCTACCTGACACAGACTCGATTGCTCATCATCTTCATCTTGACCATCATGTTGAATTTCACTACTGTTTCATTCCTTCTTGTTCACATTTCATAATATCTTACCACTTTTACCTACCTTCTTCCCTATTTATGTATCTTCTATTATGATGCATTCTCATTTGATGTGTTGATATTGCGGTGTGGCAACTTAGATCGTTACACAGAGTGTTGCTAAGTTTCATATTGGTGCTGACTGACTGATTTATATTTTTCTTCTGGTGTAGTTTTTTGTGTCTTAACAGCCGGTCACTCCTTTTTATTTGAGTTTGGATGTCGTGGTTTTGGCTACTGGGTGGTATCATTTTGTTGAGCAATTTATAGATGAGAATCAACATCATTTGAGGCATATTTAGTCAAGTTGATAAAGGAATAAAGCTGAATTAAATTTTCTTCATCTAAATTATTGCGATTTACTTGTAAATTCTTTTCTTATTTTCGTTTTAGCATTCAAAGCCAGTTCTGAGTAAAAAGCATGTTTCTAACCTGAGTGCTTCAAGTAGTGATGAGTTGGCTGTTACTTTGAGTTCTACAGTTACTGAGAATTTATCGTCATCATCATCACCATCATCATCGTCTCAGTTAGTTTGCAGTACACCGCCAATTATATCTCCTATTTCACTATCTAATACATCTACATATAACAACAGTTTGTTCAGTCAAAAATCTATTTTTGCTACCACATTAGATGAACGACTGTGTTTATTGCAAGAGTGTTATAAACGTGATTGTGATTTGAGGTCATCATCTAAATCTGTTGATTCCAATATTCAATATTCAGATGTAGGCAACACTGATGAACCAGTTCATCATGCACCCATTAAAGGCACATGTGAAGACATGTGCCCTGAATTGGAACGTTATTTACGGGCTGTCCATCAGCGTGTATCTGTAAGCTGTTTTTTGGTTTTGTAGTACTTTTTGTCGAGATGTTGTTAGTTTGATTTTTAGAGTGCATAGGTTCAAGTTGTCACATATATTTCAGTAGCACGAAAACAATAATCAGTTGATCAAAAAAGACTGAGATATCAGAATAAGCAAAAGTGTAGGGAGAAGAAGGAATTTGAAAAATCACGGGTAGTGAAAATGTTCAAGATTTAGAAGACGTCAGAGAATAAATAAATGTATGCAGTGTCATCGATTTTTAGTAATGTTAGCATATGTTTCAAAGTGGTTATTCCTACGGTTTCACGGACGCCAAACAGGTAGTCTACAAACTCCCTACGTGGCTCAGACTAACCATCAGAGGCTTCATGGTGTGATATCACGTCCTGGTTAAACCGCCTGAAGCCTTCTTGTTGTTAACCTATTACAACATAATGTTTATTTGATTTATAACACACAGTGATCTAGTATTATTTACTTGATGATGTTTCCAGCGTAAATTATCATTGCTCATAATCATATCAATGTAATCCCACAACACTTTCGACATTCGATTTATAGTTACGTCACTTTATGTGAGTTGTTTTTTTTATTGGTAGCAAAATTCTCCATATCTCTGGTCTATACCAGGTGATGCGTCATGCCTATTACATGTGTTCAGTGTTGATTCGATGAAGAAAGATTCAGTAATCAATCTCTCTCAATGTCCACCTAATTATATTGGACATGAGTACAGTGGCTTTATCCCACCCACCCTATTGTGTGGTTGTGTGTTAATGCAAATATAGCAATAGCCCAGTGTTTTTTCCAAATTATTGATCTTATTTAAGTATGTTATTCTATATTTAGCTGAATTCCTATGTTCGGCTATTCTAACTGACCCCGACCGACCGACTAGTTTGACCTATATACTTGACCTGACTGAGTCATTACATGCTATTTGATAGATTAAACTATTTTGCTTAATTGCTTCTATCATAATTTATGCTCGAAACATCATCAAGTAAATAATACTAGATCACTCACTGTGTGTTATAAATCAAATAAACAAATCTAATATGCAATTAATTTCTACCACATTGCCCATGTTTTACATCTATATTAAGGATATTTATTTTGACTGGTCAGCTGTAGAACGAAATTGCCCAATAAGGTGTTTTTTCTTCTCCACACAGTAACATTAAACCAAGGGGGAAATCTGAAACTTCTACCTTACCGGCTGATCACTTAAAATATTCACTCCCATTTACGCCGCTTTCTATCAATTTGCTACGGGAAAGCTCCTTATTCATCGCGTTCACTTGCTTGAAGATGCTTTAAAAACCACGAAACCAAATAACTCCTTAAGTTGATCGGTTGCTGAATGGATCAGTGGTTCGGCTGACGATTCAATAAAAGTAACCACTTGCTTCAATTTTACCACCACCTGGATGTGACGAGAACGAAAGCGAAAAGATGTAAAATGGAACGCTTTTATTACACGTGTCATCTAACAAACCGTCTTTCTTTCATTTTCACAGTCTATGTGCGCTTGCATTGTCACCTACCTTCACCTCACTCAACAGTTTCACAGTCAAAAGTGTTGGTTGGTTAGCCTATCTGAAGTTCCGATTCAATTGCCAAATAGTTGCCTTTACAAAGTTTTCCATCACCACCAGTGCCAAGCATCACTTTAACACTACTCTTATTATCCATATTAACTGCTTCTTTACGACTCGTGTTGAACATCTCAAGACATAACTGCCAACAAAGACTATTTCTATTCATCAGCCCTACCTCTATACATTTCATTCAGTATGTATGCAAACAAGAATGCATTTCACTATCAACTATATATAATAATAATAATAGTAATAATAAATGACCTCATATCAGTTAAGTGATTTGGAGAGTTCAGTTTACAGTTTGAGTGTCTAGTCCCATAGGAGTGCCATGGGTGACTGACTACAAATGCTTACTAGTTGACTACAGGTCAGATTCAAGGGGATATTGTCACAGTTTCCCAGAGATTACAACCTATTTTAATTACTGAAAAGCTTCTACTACATCCACCATCAATATACATACCTCCTTCCTAATATCTCACTCTCAATACGGTAACATGAACTCGAACAGGCTATATTGCAATCAACTACTGACCACGCGGATCTCTAAAAACCGGTATCGCTTGTATAGTAACACAGCCGAGACTTTGTTTGAATTCTCTATCAACCCTGTCACTATTATTACCATTACAAGTAGAATTATTATTAATAACACCTGTATTACTACTACCACTGCTAATATTTTTCTTTCCATTTCTTATGAATTTATTGATAAATGCTGGTGGGTAATAACTGATACAGACAGACCGTTAGACAGAAAACCTACGACAAGAAATAAGACACATCAAGAATACCTTGCGTTCCAATAATTACGTGAGTGAAATAAGTCGACCAGAGCCGATTCGAATAACAGAGCACAGAAACTTAGTTAAACCAAGAAAAGTAGATCCTAATCAGATGAAAAGGAGAAGGAGGAAGAATTCTATAGACAACTGCAATCAATACTGGAAAAGACCCCAACACAAATGGCAACATCAAATTCATTCTAATCGGTGGAGTGACTGACATGAATGACAAACTCGCAGCCGACAACACACCAACACAACTCATCCATCATAGGTCGAGAAGCACTCTGTGAAATGATGGATGACAATGGACAACTGTTTGCAGACTTCTACGCATTCAACAATTTGGTGATTGGAGGCGAGGCAGTGTCTACAAACACAAGCATATTCACAAAGCGAGCGAGCAACATGCATTTCATTTCAACAGACGAACACATCACACTAAATATCACATCGACTTCATCTCAATATGAAGAAAGTGGAGACACAGCCTACTCGATCAGACAAGATCAGATGAAGAAGGGGAGCAGATGGAGGTAGGTAGGTTCACACACACCACTCACTATCTAGTGGAATCAACCTGCCTCCAAAATCAAGTTGGAAGCCTCCAATTCAAACAACCTCATGATAAACGAACACAGTTCACGTTCAACACCCACTGAAAACACAAACTAAACTAAACTAAACTGAACGACGAAACTACAAACGACATATTCACGTCAATCAGCCATCAGGACAAAATGGGAGACATTGAGCAACATCCCTGAAGAAACCTGTGTGAAACACTGGAACTCTTTGAAAGCTATGTAGAAGGAGACCTGCATAACCGAATTGGGAGAGAAGAGGAAAGAAGACAAGGAATGGATGTTCACGGATCTCTATATCGAAGGTGATAGAGGAGAGAGAGGAAGATGGTGAAGCAGAAGATGAACCAGTGCAGTGCAGTGCAGTACAGTGTTGTGCAGGCATGAACAAGGAAAAGAGGAAGTGAACACAACCTATACAACACTACACTGGACAAAGAAGTGAAGAAGAGTGCACACAAAGACAACAGACACTTACTTCTATGACACACTGGCAAGTGAAGCAGAACACACAGGCTGCAGGTAAGAGAGACCTGAGAGAGACCTGACAACACTATATCAATTGACCAAGTGACTATCTGGGATGGAAGAGATCAACTCAGATGAGACGAGTGAAAGTTAGTGAAGGAAACCTAGTCCAACATAGTCCAACATTTCGTCCTTCATTTATTTTGCTGGCAGTTATGCTTTCCTGACATCTGGAATATGTGATGAGTCATTCCTGTCACTTGTGTTAGATGTTGATTCAATGAACAAACATTCCACGACCAATCTCTCCCTGCATCTAGCTATACGTGATTTAAGAGTGGTTACCTTATCCCAGCCACCATTCCATAGTTTGATTATATGTATGTCAGTGCACGCAAAGTGATAATCGAGCTTTTCTCCAAATTACTCATCTTAATAGGGTCTACCATCGCATATTTCGCTTAACTTTGATGCGCTACTATTCTGACTGACTCGGATCGGCTGCTTCGATCTGACCATACTCGACCATCCAATCATAACTTGACATAACTTGACTGTCCTGGAGTTTCAGCCTACTGAGATTCTCTCTGAGCATGTTCGTCAGTTTGAACGCCACCTAAGAATTTCACGGAAAATTTCCCATCTGTCTTCTTTATACGGCAACACTAGATAGCATTTTAATTCATTCATAGACAGGTTCCAATCATCATTAACATCACCACTCATTTTCCCACCAGTCCTCATAGACTTTTTAATACATCCATGCACAAAATTTATTCCGAAGTAATGCCTTACTTACGCATCCGACTTATTTCGAAAGCACTCTTAAAATAGTAGGCGTCCTCGCACGTGTTCAGCTGAGTCACTTTGATGATGAATTGACCAGAATATTCTGTTTTCTCTAATTAGGTTCACGTTTCTCTACCAAATATCGATTGATTCTGTGTCTAACTGACTCAGTAGTATATGGTGCGCGTCTACCACGCATTCTCTTCCCGTATTCAATTTAGTGAAAACAAATAAATTTAAACAGATTGTGATACTTTGGTTGGTTAGGTCAACTATTCTGTGATCATCACACGACTACAGATTGGACTGCTAATAATCAGCATAGAGAAGACAATGTGTAGTGAGAGAGAGAGAGAGAGACTGTGGTCAGTAAACTTAGAAGTTTACTTCATCAGTTCACAAGTATTTCACGAGAACGTGCGACGTATTTGTACATGTGAGAGGCGGTTTGCTAGAGAGCTGTGCTTCATACTTCACACTGGTCAATTCTATTCATGGTGAACTTCACTGTGAGGTAGACTACAAACGATTACTAGATAAGTCTACTGTGACAAGCATACTGGTAGCTTATTCCTGCCTTCCACTCTACTAATGCATGTGTTGTCTGCGTTGAGATAAATTAGTTGCGGTGTGGTGGAAGTCGACAAGCAGTAATATTATTTCCGCCACTACTACTTCTATTACTACTACCACTTACACTACTGCTACTACTACTACTACTACTACTACTACTACTACTACTACTACTACTACTACTACTCACACTAATACCAGTA